AAAAGTTACTAAAGTGAAGCCTATCCTTGAATACAGCGAAACCATAAACTAAAAGGCATTAAAATTCAGTTAAATAATAAAGAAAGTTCTACTGTTCCAAAACAGCTTAATTGTCCTATTTTCATAGTTACAGTTAGGGGATCATTTTATTTTAGCCACATTAATCAAAATGTGCTTTTCCATAACTTTATTTTTACAGCTATACAACTTCTTCCCAACTCTCATGGAGTATTTACCTGGGCCTCACCAAAAAATTATAGAAAATACTGAAAAAGTTGATGAATTTATTTTAGAAATCATAGAGGAACACCGGAAAACCCTGGATCCCACTTGTCCTCGGGATTTTATTGACGCTTTTCTTAACAAAATGGAACAGGTAATGTAAGAGTGAGAGATTTAATGGATTATAAGAAAACTGGTGCTCGAAGAACAGGTTCTTTTCAGTTGTGGAAGGGCACTGGGCTTTTGCAAATAGAGAAGGGAACTTGCCTTTCTTGGCACATCATCTTCCTTCTATCTTCTCCATTTTCTTATCAAGGATTTTGAAACACAGAATTAACAGCACTAGCCAAAGTTAGGGAAGCTGAAGACCAACCTGGTTGATATAATCCAGTGCTCCTTCCATATGAAGAAAGGTTCATAATATTGTTTAGTAGAAGTAGCATAAATGCTGGTGTTCTGGAAAGCGAGTGTCATATTTTTGAAAGGACATGACATGTGTCTAAAAACGTACATTATGGATACAGGACTTTGCTTTTTAAACGAGCTGCTTCGCTTTGCCATTCAAAACATTCTGTCAAATCTTCCTGCAGGAGAAAGGGAATGCTCACTCAGAATTCACCGTTGAGACCCTGAGCAGAACCACGATCGACCTGTTCTTTGCAGGAACAGGGACCACCAGCATCACACTGAGACATGGACTTCTGATTCTCCATAAATATCCAGAGATAGTAGGTAATAGAAAAGGAAAGAAATAATTGAAAAGGTTTTAATAGGTCATGGAATCAGTTTGGACAATTCCTGTCACTACCACATGTGGCAATGGTCCCCTGACTAAGGAAACATGTATTTGCAGAGTGAAAATGTGTATTTGTCTTCTTTCTAGTCTCAGGAAAGCAATATAAGTACTAAGAACGTTCATATATCCCTGGTGCACTAGAGGCAAGTTTTGCTGTACATATGGGGAGAGATTTAGGCAAACGGATGGGGGACTCGTCCATTCAACACTTACCTTATTTCCTAACAGAGAAAGTTCAAAAGGAGATTGACTGTGTGGTTGGCCGAGACCGAAGCCCCAGCATGGCAGATCGGAGCCGGATGCCCTACACAGAAGCTGTGATCCATGAAATCCAGAGATTCATTGACTTCATTCCACTTAATGTCCCACGTGCTGTGATCAAAGACACCAAGTTCAGAGACTATTTTCTCCCCAAGGTCTGTTCCACTGGGTCTGAGTAAGGTCATAATCTCTTGAAAACAATGATGTGTTCTATTCACTGTATT